ACAGTGTGTGCTCTACTGGTAGAATTGGGATAGAATAATTAATGCAAGTACAGAGGATTAACACACATTTTATATCACACAGGCCATGAAGTTACTATGGCATACTATCATAGGACTGTGTTACTGCGTCCACTATCTGCGTACTGCGCACATTTCCAAACACTTCAGCCATTACAGGACTCTGCAAAAAGGATGGAACAGTACGAGCCAGAGCCTTAATAATATCGCAGGAGAGTAATATGATAATGAAGCCAAGAACTAAACTAACATCAGTGCTACATATGTAAATGTAAATAACAGAGTATGGATTCTTCACATGACTCACTAGTATCTTATATTGATAGCTGGCTTGAGAGACGCTCATCTTAAGGGAAGATTCCAGATATAATGAAATCCTCTGGGTCTTCCTTCAGCTTATCGGCTCAGTGCAGTAATGACCACTAACCTCCACTCCTGAGACTGAGGACCAACATGGATCACTAGAGGAGAGAAAAGACCATATAACTCATACTTCTCCAAAAACCATTCTCTCCCCCCCCTAAAATAATTCTGAAGACACCTACAGTATGTAGTTGCTTGGAAACAAACGTACAGTACACATGTCAACAGAGGGCATACACACACACACACACACACACACAATACAGTGGGTCCCTCACCAGTCGCATCTATGACTGTAATAGTATACTCCAAGGCTTGAACATTAGCAGACGTGGTGGTGAAACTAATAGTGACCATCTCAGTCAGCTCAGGCTCTGTGTCCGGTATCCCTCCAATAGTGACACTGACTTGAGTAGTGGAAGAAGTGAAGTCGACAAACGTTGGACTAATCATGACCTCATTCGCTGTAGAGCAGTGGGTAAAGAGGTAGTCAGGAACTGTACTACAGACATGGGGCACTCACCTGGATCAGCCTGTATATTCACCATGAAATTCTCAACAAACGGACCGACAGCTGTAATATTCAGAGTTATGTTCTCTCCCTCCGTCACTTCACTACCCCCCACCACATTTAGAGTGACAGCTGGATCAAGAAGACATGTAAATAACAGAGTATGGGAGTCGTCACATGACTCACTAGTATCACTGATAGTGAGAGCGGCTTGAGAGACGCTCAGTCTGAATTTAGATTCCAGAGATAGAATGAAATCCTCATCTTGCGGGTCTTCCTTCATCTTATCACTCAGTGCAGTAATGACCACTACACCCGTATTTGAGGCCCTGCTGAGTGTAATGTTCCCCTCTGGACTAATGGAGTAGTCATCTAGGGTGCCACTGGGGGTCACAGTAACTCTCACTTCCACCTCTCCCATCTGTGGATTGACCCACGTCACCATTACTGGTACTGAGTCTCCTTCATTCACAGTGTAGGCAGGCTGGTTGAACCTAAATACCAGGACTAAAGAGGGAAGGAGAGTAGCGTCATACAAGGTTCTGGGCACCATTTGAAAGAATTACACCCTCTAAAAGTACACATTTGCTACTAGAAAGTTTTTTGGTCTTCTACTTCCTAAATACCTGAAAATAACTGTACAATGATAAAAAAAACCTCACCAGAGTCATTAATGGTGACAGTTGCTGTGTCCTCGACAATTAACACGGAGGGATCATTTGAACTCAGCATAATTTCAAACATTTCGTCAACCTCAGGCAATGTATCATTCACAATATTAACCATGGCAGTACCACCACTGTCAGTCAGTGTCAGGACCATTGGTCCCAGCATATTATAGTCACCAGGGGCTGGGTAGGAATAAATAAGAACACTAAATATCTTTAATGTCCCTATCTCCAGTATAAATATACCAATGGCAGTTCCATTTATTAGTGTGACAGTCACCTCCACCTCTCTGACTAGAGTCAGTGGAGGCTCAAATACGACCTCAAAGGTGAGTTTATTTCCTTCCACCACACTGTACATGAGCTCAGAGAAGCTGAGAGTAACTGGTGTTCGAGAGGGAGAGGGAGAGGGAGAGGGAAGAGGGAGAGGGGAGAGGGAGAGAGGAGAGGGAGAGGGAGAGGGGGGATAGATATTATGTAAGCAGTGAAATCCTCAATGACAGCTCACTAGTGGTGTCTGTGATAGCACACTTGAGTTGGGTCCAACCGTCACAGCGGTGTCTGACGACTCAAGTGGTCAACTGCACATTTCTTCCCCCTCAACCAGATGTCATTAGCGGCTGTGACGTCAGCAGTACTGCTTGTAGTACCAGCAGTCAACACCACACTACCAGTATAGTCAGCCCCTGTAGGATGATTTCATTAGCCATGGGAAGAGAAAAGGATGATACTTACCTTCAGTTGCCCCATCCACCCACAGTCAATTGAACATCGACATCTCTCTCCAGAGTACCTCCATTCACTCTCAATACAACATTCTTAGATTCTCCTTCTGGCACCACATATCCCGTTTTGTCAAATCAACAGTCACTGGCAGAAAATAAATGGATGTTGAAGGTAATGTGGCAGTCTAAATTTGAGGTTCATCTAAACACCTCTAGCCTTTGTAAGCTACACATCTTTTATACTTTATAACTACCTCTCATATACCCTCAACAATTATTATACCAGCTATCTGTCAGTGATGGAGACCTCGACAGGCTGTCTGCAGCCGTAACAATGTCCGTCATTGGTAACAAGAGTGAGCGTGAGAACCTCCTGATCTTCACACCACCGTGTCATTGAGAATTCAACTGAAACTGGAATCTGACGAATGGAATTGTTAAACGTAGCATCTGGCCACTGGTACGAAATCATTTCCACCCACTGCGTAAGATAGGGAGTGGTCTGTCATTGTGACAGATAAATCATCAACTATCCCTATACCTGGGCTGTGCCATCGCGTGACGAGTATTGACTATGACACATCTTCTATGGAGCCCATTGAACTACTGTCACCATCACTTCAATGTCCCTCCTTCATCCACAGTGTAGGAGGTTGATCAAATTCACTTCCACAAGCTGCGGAGAGGGATTCAATTAACTGAGAGAGAGATAGGGCGGCAGTCTAGACCAAAACCCTACATCTGCCATAAGATGGATGGGTGAACCCACCTCTGTCTCCTTGGTCACTACTACACAACCACAGTGTACTATCTCAACTGCCACAATACTATGTTGCCCAGATCCCAACTGCCACAATACTATGTTGCCCAGATCCCAACTGCCACAATACTATGTGGCCCCAGATCTCAACTGTCAATACTATGTTGCCCAGATCTCTCAACTGCTCACAACTACCACTGCCAACTCTACTTCAACTGCACAACTACTCACCGTCGCCCAATCTCACACTGCCACGAGCATACTACTCGTTGCCCACGCACTCTCAACTGCCACACAATACTAAGTGTTTCCCCAGATCTCACTGCCACAATACTATGTGCCCAGATCTCAACTGCCACAATACTAGTTGCCCAGATCAATCAACTGCCAGCACATACTATGTTGCCAGGATTCCCCAAAACTACTGTGTCAAACTTGTGTGCTCTAGAACTGTAGAATGGGATCTGAATATTAATGCCAGTACAGAGATTAACACACACTTTCTCAGAGGCCAATGAAGTTAGCGTATGGCATACTGACACCTAGGATGTACTGCGACCACTATCTGCGTACTGCTAACATTTCCAAAAGCTCTGAAAACCCTATGGGGAGATAGTAGAGAAGTGCCCTGAGGCTCCTAACGGTATCAGTGGTCTTAAAGACCCAGAGTTTAGGGCAAGGTGCTACAGTGTCCATAAATGTCGTGCACCCAAAGACCACAGACAACAATATGGCATCAGGCTCCCACTAGCCCCTACAATTGGTTAGGGAGCGTGAGCAACCAGTGTATATATTTTTGGACCTGGAACGCCAAAGGTAGTTTGCAGAATTTATAAATTGAACACTCAAACAAATGTAGTCTGGTGGTCTACCAAGCAAAGAACTGGACCACCACTGAGAGCTGTACCAATAATTATAGTGGTCTATCTTTCCCCCTTCCGCACTCTCTTCCTCAGTTATCCCCAATGCATATCACTGACACGCAAGACTTACGATGACAGTCACATTGACAGCTGTCTCGCTTGGTCATTGGGCAGTCTGTTGTATGCCTTAACAGATGTATACAGTTTCTTCAATCGATTGTCCTTTATGTCATGATATGAGTGCCACTTGCATCTTCCAGTCTCGACCATCGTGTTCGCGGGGGATTTAGTAGGCATAATATAATCCCCTCCTGTGTGGAAGTCGGCAAGTCTGAACCATCGTATGGTGAGGGTCTCGATCTCACCGTGAGGTTGGTTGCACTGCGTGCAGTAGCGTCATCCCCCACCACGAATGAATCGCCGCCAGTGTCTGTTGTTTATAGTTAGATCTCTCCTCTGCCCGCACGTCGTCATTGATGGCAAAACAAAAAACAACAAGACAGACAACACAAAACAAACAATCTGTTAATAACAAATGAAACAATAGACACAAATGGAAGAAGAAGTTTCGGTATGAAATTTGATACCCTCATAGGGACCAGACAACTTCTAGATGTAGTGGGCCTAAAACGCCCAGGGCAACACTACAAACCAAATTAAACGTGTTGCATTTCCTAGAAAGCAACCCACGGATCTCGGTGTGGCTAGCTTTGCTGGGCGTGCCCGAATAGACCGCAACTTGGGTGGTAGCAGTGGTTCCCATACAAACCTCCTCCCCAGGACCTCCACTGCTCCCAGGGGTGAACTAAAGGTTCACTACTCACTCTCAGAGTTAGTTGAGATCTCCTCGCGAGGAGTACCACTCTGCCGTAGGTCACGTTGCAAACTGTGACATTCCTCGTGGACCTACCCACGCGTCGTTATAGTTGCCGTCACTGGTAGTCTCAACAGTGCCCAGAGTCTCATCCACAGTCAGCAGTGGTGGTTTGAAGAGAAGCATTCGTGTGGCATTGTCATTGTCGATGTCAAGATAGTATTGATCTGGCCACAGCTGATAATGGAGGGCAGCTTTGACACCACTGCTTCCAATGGTATGACATTGGGTTACTGGTCTGAAGGTGGCTAGAGCCAGCTCTGGAGGGAGGGAGTGGACGGAGGAAGAAGGGAGGAAGGGGAGGGAGAGGAGAATGGAGGGAGACAGGGAGGGAGAGTGATGCATGTATAGAGAGAGCAAACCAGACAGACTACACTCACGGAAGACTCTCGAGCATCATGCGTGTGGGAGAGTCAGTAAACACATTTACTCATGGAGCAGGTATAGTTGCCGCAGTTGGAAAACTCCACATGAAGAGTCAATGCTGAGAGTGCTCCTGTAGACAAACTCCCCCTCATCTACACATTAGGTCCACCTTCACTGAGTGGACCCCATCCTTCATCCACACTATCTCCACTGGGTTCCCAGCTATGAACCAACATGTTAGCGTCACTGAATTATTCACCTCCACTCCCTGAGACTGAGGACGATCAGTATGGTTTACTCGAGGAGAGAAGACCATATAACTCATACTCTCCAAAAACCAATTTCTCTCCCCCCTGAAAAAATTATACACACCTACAGTACAGTTGTAGTGCTTTGAGAACAAACGTACAGTACACATGTCAACGACACACACAGATACAGTGGTCCCTCACCAGTCGCGTCTATGACTGTATAGTATACTCCAAGCTTCAACATTAGCAGACGCGGTGGTGAAACTAATAGTGACCACCTCAGTCAGCTCAGGCTCTCCATCCAGTAATCCCTCCAATAGTGACACTGACTTGATATGGAACAAGTGAAGTCGACATACGTTGGACAAATCATGACCTTGTTCGCTGTAGAGCAGTGGGTAAAGAGCAGTCAGGAACTGTACTACAGACATGGGGCACTCACCTGGATCAGCCTGTATATTCACCATGAAATTCTCACAAACGGACCGACAGCTGTAATATTCAGAGTTATGTTCTCTCCCTCCGTCACTTCACTCTCCCCCACCACACCAGAGTGACAGCTGGATCAAGAAGACATGTAAATAACAGAGTATGAGTTGTCACATGACTCACTAGTGTCACTGATAGTGAGAGCGCTGAGAGACGCTCAGTCTGAATCTTAATTCCAGAGATAGATGAAATCGCTGGGTCCCTTCCTTCAGCTTATCACCCGGTACAGTATGACCACTACACTAGTCTTCTGCCAAGGTACTGCTTGAGTGTAACTGCGTTCCCCTCTGGACTAATGCGAGTATCATCTAGGGTGCCACTGGGGAGTCACAGTACTCTCACTTCACCTCTCCCATACTAGTGGATTGACCACATCACATTACCCGGTACTAGAGTCTCCTTCGATCACAGGGATAGACAGACTGTTAAACTGAAACACCCAGAGACTAAGAGGAAAGGAGAGTAGCATCATACAAGGTTCTCTGGGCACATTTAAAAATGTCAGTATAACACCCTCTAAAGTCACACATTGTGGCCACTAGAAAGTTTATTTGGTCCTCTACTTCTTAAATACCTGAAATACCTGTACATGATCAAAAAAACCTCACCCGAGTCATTATGTAGACAGTTGCTAGTGTCCTCAACAATGACACGAGGATCGCACTTGATTCAGCACTCATTCAACATTTCGTCATTCTCAGCCACTGTATCATTCAACACAATATTAAACCATCAGCAGTACCACCACACTGCCAGATCAGTGTCAGCGTGTTATGGTCCAGCATATAAGTCACCATGGGTGCTGGGTGAGAATAAATACACTCAATCATCTTTAATGTCCCAGATCGTCCAGTATCACAGACGCAATGGCAGTTCCCATCCATTAGTGTTACAGAGTCACATTCCACGTCTCTGACTAGCAGTCACTGGAGGCTCAACTACGACACCTCAAAGGTGCGATATCATTCCTCCACCACACTGTCAACAGATGAGCTCATGAGAGCTGAGAGTAGCTGGCGAATTCGAGAGGAGAGGGCGAGTAGGGTGCAGCGAGAGGAGAGTGCGCGAAGAGCGAGAGCGAGTGATGAGTGGGTGGCCGAACAGAAATGACGGTTGACCGGTAATGTGGTCGGTCTAATTTAGAAAACTGGATTACTACAACGGAACACTGCCCGGAGCCCTACTGTTTTGGTCCATCATCTAGGGCCCTTTGTACTACCACATTCATCTTCTCCGCTTTAACCTGTCGATATCCTCACAATTATATATACCAGAGCTCTGTGTCATTGATGACGACCGCGACTGTAGGCTGTCTGGCAACAGCCACAGCAACATCCCTTAGGGAGTCAACATTGCGTAGCAAGAGTAGAGCGTGTAAAACTCCTGATCATTCCACCACCAGAGTCAATTGAGATTTCACACTGAAACTGGAATCTGACGCAATGAATTAGCGTATTAAACGTCTAGCATCTGGGCCACTGGTACGCAAATCACACTTCCACCCACTGCAGGACAGATAGGGAGGGTACCTGTCCATGCTGATAGATAACTCATCAACTATCCTATACCTGCTATGTGCGCCATTGATACGCGAGATCTGACTATGACATCATTCTCTATGAGCACACATTGGATCTATTGTCACCATCACGTTGGAATGTCCCTCCTTCATACCGCAGTGTAGGTAGTCTTGATTGAAACACTGACAACACAAGCTGCAGGAGATGGGATTCAATTAAAATAAAAAAAAATTAAAGAAAAAATTATAAAAAAAAACAAACCAACAAAAAAAAAAAAAAAAAAACCCCCCGCCCCCCCCCCTCCTCCCCCCCCCCGCCCCCACCCCCTCCCCCCCCCCCCCTTCGCCCCCCACCCGCCCTCTCCCCCCCCCCTCTCCCCCCCCCCCCCTCCCCCCTCCTCCCTCCACTCCCCCCCCTCCCTCCCCCCCCCCCCCCCGCCTTCCCCCCCCTTCCCCCCCCCATCCACCGTCCCCCCCCCCCCCCCCCCCCCCCTCCACCTCCCCTCCCCTTCCCACTCCCCCCGCCACCCCCCCCCCTCCCCCCCCCCTTCCCACTCCTCCCCCTCCTTCTCCCCCCCCCCCCCGCCCCCCCCTTCCCCCCCCCCCCCACCCTCCCACTCCTTCCCACCCCCCCCCCCCACCACTCCCCCCCCCCCAACACCCCCCCCCCCCCCCCCCACCTCCCTCCCACGGGGCACCCCCCCCCCACCAGCCAACCATCCCCCCCCCCCACCCCCCCCCGCCCCAGCTTCCCCGCCCCCCCCTCCCCTCCCGCTTCCCCCCGCCCCCCCCCCTCTCCTCCTCCCCCCCGCCCCCCCCCCCCCCAATCCCATCCCCCACAGTGGGTCCCCTGCCCCATACCCCCCCGCCCCACCCCTCCCCCCACCCCCCCCCCCCCCCAGGAACTGCCACTGCCCCCCGCCCTCCCCCCCCCCCAACCCCATCCAACCTCACCCCCCGCCATTCTCCCCTTCTCTAGCCTCCCCCACCACGCGCACCTCCCCCTTCCCCCACCCCCCCCCCACACCCCCCCCCCACCGTCCTGCTCTCGCTCCTTCTGCCTTCTCGACCACCCACTCTACTCTACCCTAATATTGGATGGGTGACACTCTGCTCCTTGGTCAGCTACTACACCACAATGTACTATGATCCCAACTGCCCCAATACTATGTTGCCCAGATCTCAACTGCCACAATACTATGTTGCCCAGATCTCAACTGCCACAATACTATGTTGCCCAGATCTCAACTGCCACAATACTATGTTGCCCAGATCCCAACTGCCACAATACTATGTTGCCCAGATCCCAACTGCCACAATACTATGTTGCCCAGATCCCAACTGCCACAATACTATGTTGCCCAGATCTCAACTGCCACAATACTATGTTGCCCAGATCTCAACTGCCACAATACTATGTTGCCCAGATCTCAACTGCCACAATACTATGTTGCCCAGATCTCAACTGCCACAATACTATGTTGCCCAGATCTCAACTGCCACAATACTATGTTGCCCAGATCTCAACTGCCACAATACTATGTTGCCCAGATCCCAACTGCCACAATACTATGTTGCCCAGATCTCAACTGCCACAATACTATGTTGCCCAGATCTCAACTGCCACAATACTATGTTGCCCAGATCTCAACTGCCACAATACTATGTTGCCCAGATCCCAACTGCCACAATACTATGTTGCCCAGATCTCAACTGCCACAATACTATGTTGCCCAGATCTCAACTGCCACAATACTATGTTGCCCAGATCTCAACTGCCACAATACTATGTTGCCCAGATCCCAACTGCCACAATACTATGTTGCCCAGATCTCAACTGCCACAATACTATGTTGCCCAGATCCCAACTGCCACAATACTATGTTGCCCAGATCTCAACTGCCACAATACTATGTTGCCCAGATCCCAACTGCCACAATACTATGTTGCCCAGATCCCAACTGCCACAATACTATGTTGCCCAGATCTCAACTGCCACAATACTATGTTGCCCAGATCCCAACTGCCACAATACTATGTTGCCCAGATCCCAACTGCCACAATACTATGTTGCCCAGATCTCAACTGCCACAATACTATGTTGCCCAGATCTCAACTGCCACAATACTATGTTGCCCAGATCTCAACTGCCACAATACTATGTTGCCCAGATCTCAACTGCCACAATACTATGTTGCCTAGATCCCAACTGCCACAATACTATGTTGCCCAGATCCCAACTGCCACAATACTATGTTGCCCAGATCTCAACTGCCACAATACTATGTTGCCTAGATCTCAACTGCCACAATACTATGTTGCCCAGATCCCAACTGCCACAATACTATGTTGCCCAGATTCCCCAAAACTACTGTCAAAACTGTGTGCTCTACTGGTAGAATTGGGATCTGAATAATTAATGCAAGTACAGAGGATTAACACACATTTTTATCACAGGCCAATGAAGTTACTATGGCATACTACATAGGATGTACTGCGTCCACTATCTGCGTACTGCTAACATTTCCAAACTCTTCCAGCCATTAACAGAATTAATTGCAAAAAGGATGGAACAGTACGAGCCAGAGCCTTAATAATATCGCAGGAGAGTAATATGAGAATGAGGCGATGGACAGGAACTAACATTAGTGCTACAGATGTAAATGTAAATAACAGAGTATGGGAGTCGTCACATGACTCACTAGTATCATTGATAGTGAGAGCGGCTTGAGAGACGCTCAGTCTGAATGAAGATTCCAGAGATAGAATGAAATCCTCTGGGTCTTCCTTCAGCTTATCGCTCAGTGCAGTAATGACCACTACAGCCGTGTTGGAGCTATTGCTGAGTGTAATGTTCCCCTCTGGACTAATGGAGTAGTCCTGGGGGGTGCCACTGGGGGTCACAGTAACTCTCACTCCCACCTCTCCCTCCTGTGGATTGACCCACGTCACCATTACTGGTACTGAGTCTCCTTCATCCACAGTGTAGGCAGACTGGTTGAACTGAAACACCAGGACTAAAGAGGAAAGGATTGTAGTGTCATACAAGGTTCTGGGCACCATTTGAAAGAATTACACCCTCTAAAAGTACACATTTGCCACTAGAAAGTTTTTCTTCGTTTTTGGTCCTCTTCAAATACCTGAAAATAACTGTACAATGATCAAAAAACCTCACCAGAGTCATTAATGGTGACAGTAGCTGTGTCCTCGACAATTGACACGGAGGGATCATTTGAACTCAGCATCATTTCAAACATTTCGTCAACCTCAGCCAATGCATCATCTACAATATTAACCATGGCAGTACCACCACTGCCAGTCAGTGTCAGGACCATTGGTCCCAGCATATTATAGTCATCAGGGGCTGGGTAGGAATAAATAAGAACACTCAATATCTTATCTCTAGTATAAACATACCAATGGCAGTTCCATCTATTAGCGTGACATTCACCTCCACGTCTCTGGCTAGAGTCAGTGGAGACTCAAATACGACCTCAAAGGTGAGTTGATTTCCTTCCACCACACTGTACCATGAGCTCAAGAGAAGACTGAGAGTAACTGGTGTTCTAGAGGAAGGGAGAGGGAGGGAGAGGGAGAGGGGAGAGGGAGAGGGAGAGGGAGAGGG